GTAAACAGGCCCCAAATTTTTCTAAAAAATTGTCATCAATATGGCATTACTAACACATGTTGGCATTTGTTCCAGTGGTTGGAGTTGGTGGCATTGAGAGGTTGTTGAAGCGGTAGCAGATGCCTGCATATTTTTTTAACTTTTTTTTTTATTTTTTATTTTAATTTTTTGAGTTTTTAATTTTATATTTCATTTTTCTAATGTTTTAGTTTTATTAATTTTATTTATTATTTATTTTCATTTTTTTATTATAAATAAAGTTATGTTATTACTTTTATGTTTTAATTATTAATGAAATATGAACTCCACTAAACAAAGCAAGAATAGATTTGGAAAGCTAGTTCTATTTAAGAAATATTGAGATTATAACAATTATAAGCTAGCCAGCAAAAAATTGCAAAAGGAGACTACAACGAATAGGAATACATAAAAAGGAAAGAAAAATTTTAGGAAGAAAAAATAAAAATTATATGTGGGACTGTTTTGAGAAGATTTGTAGAAGGTGAGATTTATGGTTGAATGATTTGTGAAGAAAATGAAAAATCCTGGAATAGCAGGTCATCAACCGGTCAGGATTCAGGAACCAAGGAATGAAGATGGGGTACAAATGTTGAATTATTCCTGAATTGCGATAAGGTGAGACTATTGTAAGAAGACCGTTAAAAGGTTGGATCATTAGTTTCCTTTTTCTCATTGATTTTTGAGCCCCCCCCCCAAAAAAAAAAATAATGCTAGAAAAATATTTATGAAATTAGGGTAAAATTAATTAAAATTATTTTCCAAAATACTGTTGGGATTAAATGGAGTTAATTTAAGAGGAAAAAAAACTAATGGCACAAAAATACAAGAGGAGGAGATGATCTCTGGTCCCACTAAAAAATACCACCTCTTTAATTTAAAATGCTTTAACTTTTTATATTTGGGAAAACTGTCAAATAGGTTCTCAAACTTTCATAAAAGATCAAATAAGTCCTTTCCGGCCATCGCAATTTGGGATGGTTCCCGGTGAAAATTTTTGATGAAATTTTTTGAGCATCTTATTCATCAAGTTTAGTTTACTCATACCAAATTTCAGCTAAAACTTCAATCGGGAACGCATTCAAATCAATTCAAAAAATTCCATCGGGAACCGCCCCAAATCGCAACGGCCGGACAAAGCCTCCTATATAAAGACTTATTTGACCTTTTTATGAAAGTTCGAGGACCTATTTGACAGTTTTTCCTTTATATTTTTACTCGAATTGTTACAATACAATTATCAAAATTCACAACTTTTTATTACGGAGTATCTCTTATATGACACTTATATTGCATCTAAAAAATTAATAAATAATTTACTAATTTCAATAACACTTTTATTTTTTAAAGTGTTTTAACTTTTTATATTTACTTCAATTGTTACAATATATTCCCTCCGGTTCTTAATTAAGTTCCTAGTTTGACTTCACACATATTAAGTAATAAATTTGACTTTACTATGGAGTGCACTGTTTGAACACTGTTTGACACTGTTTGACACTGTTTGACATTGTTTTGGTGTAAATCATTTGCCAAATAAGGAAAGGTTTGAAGTAGGAACTTTAATATGGACCATCCCAAAAAGGAAAGCATGAACTTAATTACGGGACGGAGGGAGTATATAGTAACATTCATAAATTTTTCTTATGATTCATATGAAACCGTATTGCATATATAAAAACAAAAAATAATAATTAGGCACTACTTTGCACCAAATTCGTCTCTTTCTGCAGTGTGCACTGCCCTAAGTTGATTGTTCATCAGTCTAAATTAATCAATTGGTGCACCATATAACTTGAACATTGCACTACTGATTTCTATGTTTTTCCTGCTTCCGTAATGAATTATTAAACCTTAACGACAAAGAGGTATCTATTAATGGTCTACTATTTGAAATAATGAAAGTTTATTTTCCTCTTTAGTGTGGTTCAAAGTAATTAAAATGGACGAAAGTATTGAATGATTTTCCTTCCTCTCAAATCGTGCAACACTCCCTTCCTTTTTAATTATATTCCATGTTTTACTAATAAGCCCCTCACGGCCTCACCTAATTACTTGACATGAGCAGCGGTCCAGATTCGTTCTCATTTCTCTCATAAGATCCGTTCTTACCCGAACCACTCCCTATATATATAATATTTATATACATGGTTAAATTTGTAAAGTAAAAAATATTTTCCTTCCTCTTTAATAAAATAATACGTATTATCTAGTATACAATTTTTAAGTGAACCATGATCCATGAATGTATTTGAAATTAGAGGAACAAAAAAACTAAACATAAAATTAATCAAATACTATATCTTAAAAATCTTGCATAACTATATATGTTTTGCACTTTTATATACTTATCAGTTATCAAGCAGTATATGATAACTATATTATGTGTTATTAGTTTTCATATTTTACTATTATTAATCATTTATTAACAAAGGAGATTTAAAATGTATACTTATTAGTAATTAGTAATACGGAGTTGTAATGTATAATAATAAACGACGTATTCATATAACGAAACGGTTGGTATAGAGCAGTGGTCAGACAGTGTACATAGTACATACTACATAGTATGCAACAGGTCCGCTGTTCGTCTCACCCAGGTGTTAACGGGTTGAGTGACTTGAGTCCGGTTCAGATCCGATTCAGGTCACCGGGTAATTCCGGGTTTTGCTTATAATGCGGTTTGTTACTCAACCGGACCAGATTAGACCCAAACTTCACTTAAACAAATCAAACCAGAGCAAACTTAAACAGATCAGACTGGACTAGTCAGTCTAGTCTTGGACAGTTGTAAAATTTATATATATAAACCAAATATCTAGCAGACTAGATCATTTTAAACATATCAAATCAGAGCACACCAAATCTAAAAACATCTTTATTAGTGGAATAATATAAATGAGATAATAATAGTGAGATGATGAGTAAAAATCATTACTCGTATCATAGACACCAAAAAGTAAAAAAATTACCCAACAAATGAACTTGTATTTTTTTAATTTACTATGTGGTTAATATTAAAAATATACCAACACAATTTTAAGTAAGGATGTTTTCTTTTGGACTGAAATTTGCTGGTCTGGTCTGATCTGGTCTGGTCCGTTTATGTCTGGTCTGGTCTGGTCTGGTCTGGTAAACGTCTGGTCTCTGTGTATTTTATAACTATCCAAGTCTGGTCTGGTCTGGTCTGTTTAAGTCTGGTCTGGTCTGGTCTGGTCTGTTTAAGTCTGGTCTAGTCTGGGACTGAAAAAACACAGCTATCGGTCGTCTATCGCTATTGCATGCAAAAAATATAATTTTCAAAATTGTAGTTACATATCTATTCCACCTAGAAAAAACACGCGTCACAGTGTCACACAAATAAGAATAAGCATACAAACTATACGCTACACGCATTTTACATTGTGAGAATAAAATACTACTATCGATCAGAATACTATATTAGACCCTTTTACTCATTTTATATGAGATCCAAATTTGAACAACGTGATCCTAGCCATTACACGTGCTTCTCTATTATAAACCAGAACTAATCCTAATTGCAAAATAAATATTGAACCAGAACTAACTCAACCACTCCCAAATGAACATAAAAAGCCTCTTGCTTCAATTCGTGGTTTGGTTTAATTTGGAAATTTTCTCTCTCTTTTCACACAACATAAGTTTAAACCCCTCTAAAAGCTAATAAGCAATTATGCCACCAAATCTTCGGTTATATATGTTTTATAATGCTTTAATGCTTTTGAGTCTGAAACTGCAAATATATGACCATAACTAGATAAACAACGTTACAAAACAACAAGATAAGATGCACCCATTCCAATTTGACAATTTCCAAGGGTATTCCATCAAACAGATAGAAAAGTTAAAATGAATTATATTCATAATTTTTTTGACAGAAAGTTAATTTGCATAATACTTTGATAGATGAACTCATGAGTCATGAGTCATGAGCAAATTTTTAAGAGAATTTATTCAGGTCTACCCTATTCAAAACGATCGAGGAAAAGGTAACAAAATTTCACAAATAAAAACAGCATTATTTTCTTTCCTAAACACGTAGTACTACGTATGATTTTTCCTCTCCTTTTTAATTCGTTTCTATTCTTTTATTCTTCTAATAAAACTAAATACACCCTACTCTCTCTACCCCATATTTTTGTCCCATTTAACTTTTTTTCGTCTGTCCACTACCTTTGTCTCATACCATATTTGATAAAATTTGGGTGGTTACTATTTGTTCTAATTTTATTTACACTATCAATTTAATACCAACCACACAATTCAGCTTGTCTTAATAATCGCATCAATTCATTTTTTCCGAAGGAAGCTACCAGTACACATTTGTACACATTTGTTGTACACACTACCTAGTTGCTTGAGTAGGCAGAAACTTCTGTATGAATTGCCTGAATACACATGTAACTAGATGTGTGTATAACAAATGTGTACAAATTATGTGTACAAATAGCTTTTTTTCTTGTTCGAATATTGGGGGACAGAGATAATATTTCATACTACCTCCGTCCCTAAAACTTTGCCATTTTCAAAACTTTGACCGGCTACATCTTTTTATTGAAAATGATTTATAATATAAAAGTTATATGAAAATGTTCTTTGTTAAAAGCACTTTCATAAAAGTATAAAATTTATAATTTACATAATATTATACTAATCAAAATTAATGTTCAAATTTTTGGAAATGACAAAGTTTTTTGGGACGGAGGTAGTATTCCATAAGGAAAATATAAACCATCTTATTTTAAAATTTTGTCCTTGACAATATTCTTAAAAGACGCAACGCGTCATTAGCACACATCATGTTGTAATAAATTTGAAGAATTTGAAGATCCTATAAGAAAACAAGAATTTGAAGATGAACAACTGAGAGAGCACACAGTACAAGCCATTAAAGCATGGATAATATTTTCCAAAGAGTCTAGAAGGCTGTCGCCCTTGTACCGGGGTCCACCCCTGAATCATCACCCCTTTAAAGTCTCCCCAAACACTACACTTCACACGACCAGTTTAAAAATCCTTTTCTACAACCACCAACAATGCGCAAATATGTCTATTTCCTGCAAATGCCTGCTTCCTAATTGCTTTAAGGCCGTCCCGGCCCTCGAATCGCCGATCAGAGGTTCCGGCCACCAGAGACTGGCGATTGCCGACCTGATCAGTGACCCCGGCTCGTCGTTGAGCGCCGAGGATTTGACCTCGAACTCTGTCATCGGCTCAAACCTTCATGTGTTTACACTGGCGGAGCTCAGGAAGATCACCGGCGACTTCTCGCCGGTTAATCTCCTTGGCGAAGGTGGGTTCGGCCCAGTGTATAAAGGTTTCGTGGCTGACGGGTTCAGGCCCGGTCTGGTGGCCCAGCCTGTTGCGGTTAAGGCTTTGGATTTGGAGGGATTTCAGGGTCATAGAGAATGGCTGGTTCGTACATTTCTCAAATTAATTGTGTCCGTCGCAACTCTCAGTTTTAATTACTTTTATTCTTTTATTACTAAAATTAAATGAGTTCTATTTTTTGAAAATGGCATGAATATTACTATTGAGGTTTTCTCGGACAAAAATATGACTACATATATCATATTTGTAGACAAAAAATATGACTAGTCACTTTTGTTCGAGTAACTAGACAAGAATCAGTGAGAATCACCATAGTGTACACTTCCTGTTCCGCTAAAATTGTCTCATTTTTTTTTTCATAAAATATTATTAACGTTGTCTCATTCCAAATTCCGTAACGCTTATGTGGTTTTAAATCATTCTAACCTTATTCTTACTTTATCAATTTAATATCAATCACATAAACTAACTTTTCTTAATGACCGTGTCACTTCATCATGTCCCAATGTTTAGTGGAACGGATGTAGTGTTTCAAAGTGACAAGTCACAAGTAGATAATGAGTCACTAGAAACTAGTCTTAGTTTTTTTTTATAAAATTTTAAAGTAAGTCTTATTTTTGCTTTTGAATTTAATTTAGTAATATTCATGCAAAAAGGCCTTCTATTTTTGGAATATAACAGCAATATTTTATTACATTTCAAAAAATAAATAATATTTTATTTAAAGACTCTTTTTACAGACCCACTATTTGAAAGATCTTATGGCTAAAACGCGCATTGTGACATCTAAATAATGAAACTAAACTTTTTCGGTTGCAATACTTTGAGTGTTAAAATGCCACCATTTATTTCATTGAAGAATAATATCCAACACTTTGAACATCAATATGTGATACAAATAAAGTAAAGATGTACTATAGATTTTTTTTGCACGATAAGCTCTCTTCGTATTGTATATCGAAGATAGTCAAATATGTAGTGGTAGGTAAATTAAGTCTCGCCCAAACAAACTATTAATACTGTTTTGTTTGGCTTGATTGAGGGAGTGTTTGCGATTGCTTCTACTTTAAAAAAAGTGTTTTTTTAAAGTGATTTTGATGAAAGTACTTAATAGTAAAAGTTGGTAGTGTTTGAGAAAAAAGTGATTCTGAAAAAGTAAAAATTGGTAGTGTTTGGTAAAATAAGTGTTTTTTGTGTAATAGAAAAAGTCAAAAGCAGTTTAAAGCACCCTTCCACCCGCTTCCAGCTTTTAGCTTTTAAGTGATTAATTTAAGCAGAAGCTGTCATTTAAAAACACTCTTTTCAGCTTTTTTTTAATCCAAAAGCTAAAAAACACTTTTTTTCAGCAAGTGCAAACACTCCTTGAGTCTAAGATAGATCATACTTAAATAGATTATATCAGACTTAAATAATCAGATAAGACTTTAAACTTTGACAATTGTGAAATACACAAAGATCATACCAATTCAGAACATTCCAAACTTAAATAGACCAGACTCAAATCTGACTAGAAAATTTCAATCTAAATAGAAACATCCCAAGAATTTTTTAATTGAGCTGTTTTGAATTCCAAATCAAACTAAACTAAATCAGATCAAACTAAATTTAACAAACTGAAATGCATACATACCAAACGTTACCATACTATAGCTTACTAAAAAATTGAGTACAATAAAAACAAGGGAGACTTCAAAGAGAAATAAGCCATTATTGAATTATACTCAATAGTTTGATTTGATTTTTTTAAGTTTAATCTAATCTGTTTAAGTTTAAATTTATTTGACCTATTTAAATTTGATTAATCTGGTTTGAAATTGAAATCAATCTAAGTAAAAAACTTCTTACATTCACATCGAACTATAATAGTTTGTTCCTTTCATGTTTATTGAGACACGATTGTAACCATCAATATATGTGATTGTCTAAGAGCATCTTCAATGCTATAATGTCCACAACGCACATGTGTCATGAGTGATAGCCACATAATTATTAGCAAATAAATTATTTCTCTCCTTATTTGAATGATTTTATATAATTTTAGTAAGTTTTTCCCTGCAATGTCAACAACAATGTCAACATTAGACGGTCTCCTTGACATTGTGGAGAATAACTTACCAAAACTGTATAAAATCATTCAAATAAGGAGAGAAATAATTTATTTACTAATATTTATGTGGTCATCTCTCATGCCACGTGTGCACCGTGCACATTGTACCATTGAAGATGCTCTAATTGTAATATGGGATACTTAACAATTTCGTTTCATTTTCCTTATTTGTTTAGGCTGAAGTGGTCATTCTCAGCCAATTGAAACATCCCCATTTAGTTAAATTGATTGGGTATTGCTGGGAAGATGAGCAGAGGCTTTTGGTTTATGAGTACCTTCCCAGAAGAAGCCTGGAGACCCAATTATTTCAAAGTAAGAATAACTATATACAGAATCCCTCACCTTTAAGCTAATCATTTAATTTCACTTGTATAATTAGTAATATTTGTATGGTTCTATTAAGTCATTCGTACTTAAAAAAATGACTTTTAATGAGCAATGATCACAATAGTAATGTAATGACTATGATAGTGTTCAATTTTACACTTGTCATGGCGATATACTTATAGTTATTTTACACATTTTATGAATAAATTTTATTCGAGTAATACTTTAGGAATACTCCCCAAATTCAATATCAACTAAGTTTCACCTGTTTAAAGTTCATTGATGAGATTTATTTCATTCTTCCAAACATAAAAACTTTTGGTAAAATAAACTTGGGAAAATGGAAAATAATAATCCAACCTTTTAGCGGTCTTCTTACAATAGTCCCACCTTTTCGTTATTCATGAATAATCCAACCTTTGCATCTCATCTTCATTCACTGATCCCTGACCACCGGTTGATGACCTGTTGTTCCAAGTTATTTTCTTATCTTTGCAAACCATTATACTACATACCATAAATCTCACCTTTCACAAAGATAATATTTTGTAAGGATAAAAAAATAACTTGGAATAACAGGTCATTAACCGGTCAGGGACCAACGAATGACGAATGAAAATGAGGTGCAAAGGTTGGATTATTCTTGAATGACGAAAATGTGAGACTATTGTAAGAATAATGCTAAAAGGTTGGATTATTAGTTTCCATTTTCCCAATAAACTTTAACTAAGTCAAGAACCATCTATTTTGGGTTTTTGTGGTTATTAAACTTATTGTTGACAGAATCCAATTTGGGAGTCAATTCATGAGATTGTTAGGTGAGAGTGTTAGGGGATGATGTTGGTGATCCGATTCATAGCCTGGTTGAATGAGAGAGATCATTAGGTACTAGCGTATTTAATTAAAATTATTGGCTAGAGATTAGTATCACTAATCAAGGAAATCAACGATAACGAACTTTTTTCATCGGATGGAGTATTTGTAGTATTTGTGCAGTCAAACAGTCAAACTCGAATACATTACAAATTCCCTATCAACAATATCATTCTCATTTTCTTAATATGTAAGCTACTTTCTCATGTTACAAAAATAGTGATAGAGGAGTAGTACTGTATTGGTTATACTTTCGGAGAGGATCAAAAGTGTTAGAAATAAATGCACGCAACACGAAAAAATAATATGAAGAACCCACGAAATTTGGTAACCCAGTTCGTGGGGGCGCTACCAAGGCAGGATATTGTTATTAATTCCGGATCAATGATTACAAGGAGAGAGCTTGTATTTATAGAGAGTAAAACCAAATCCCCAACACAAATAGGACGTGCGCGGCCCAGTCTGGAATAAAAAAAATCGCGGCCCATCAGAAACGGACCCAAAAAATTTCGGGAAAGTTGGATCGACGGAATGGGCCTGGTTATACACTCTCTAACACCTTACAAAAAGTGGAATTAATTCCTTAAATTAGACCTTTGTTCTTAGCTTAGTTTCTCGTGAAGTCACAAATAAATGATATTATATCACTACTTGTTGTATAGGATTTTTATATAGATACTTGTATTAAATAGATAAGTCTCTATTAGAACTAAATATTACCAAGCACTCTTTATAAATACTTTTTGATACCATGGTTGTGTGATATAAATGGCAGAGTACTCCAGTTGCTTGCCATGGCTGACTCGAATCAAAATCGCAGTTGGGGCTGCAAAGGGCCTGGCTTTTCTCCATGGGGAAGAAGAACCCATCATCTATCGCGACTTCAAAGCTGCAAACATTTTACTTGACTCTGTAATTTTACTTCACTAAATCTCTCCTCCCTCCCCATTTAAGGATGTGCAATCTTGGAATAGGTAACACATACTATGTATGCAGTATATAAGAAATCGCTCTTAACGGGTTGATACACATAATAATTTCAGGATTATGTTGCAAAACTTTCTGATTTTGGGCTAGCAAAGGATGGTCCGGGAAGAGATGAAGGACTTGCCACAACTCGTATCATGGGCACCAAAGGTTATGCAGCCCCGGAGTATGTTAAATCAGGTGCAAATAATGTTAAGCTATCCATATCAAACTAATGTAAATGATCAAACTAAAACATATCTCTAATGCTCCTTTGTAATTGTTTCTACTTTTTACCATAGGCCAATTGACAACTAAGAGCGATGTATACAGCTTCGGAGTGGTTCTATTAGAACTCATTACAGGATGTGGTAGCGCAGACAAATGGAGTCTTCTTAGTAACAACCAGGACTTAGTGAGTTGGGCTAAGCCTATGCTGAAAGACTCGCGTAAGCTCGAGAGGGTCATGGACCCGAGGCTCGAATTTGAGTACTCGTTCCGTGGTGCCAAGATGGTGGCTGCATTGGCTCACCGGTGTCTGAGCCACTGCCCGAAGTCCAGACCAACAATGAACCATGTGGTTAAGACATTAGAGGCAGTCTTGGACTTGAAGATAATACCAATTGCTCCTTTTGTTTACATTGTCCCTTCTGATCATATAGAAGGACCAACTAGTACAGAAAAAATGCATGGAGATAAAAGAAAGAAAGAAAATCAGCAGAGGGGTTGTTCCTTTGGGATTGAGGGTTCTGGTACATATTCTGATACTAGTTTATACGTAGCTTTTAGGAAAGAGCCAAAATCTGGAACTAATAAGCACAAGGAGCAAAGGAGAGTACATCCCAATATTTGATGATGAGTCAATATAATTCATCCTTAATTGGGGGTAATAATATATGTACGTAATTTGTAAAATGTAATTATATATTCGTTATAGTATAAATATAATTCAATACACCGAATAAGAGTAAGATACTTCTCAATATCTCTCAGCTCGCGTGGCACTAAATATCATTTTTGGCTTAAACTTGTGCAATTTCAAAGTAGCCAGGGCAGAGGCAGAATGTGAGGATAGGGGGGCAAAAATGTTAACCTTAAGGGCTTGTTTATTTAGCAGCTTGTATATAATTTTTTCTTGTGTGTAAAGTTTAGGGAAAGCAACTATCAAAATAAAAATACACTATTTGATTAGGCGTGTAATGTTTTTAAATTAGATGTTACGTCATTGTAGTGCTTTATAAAAAAATAATTAAAATCTTTTACTGCATGTCCTCCCTTCACATAAATTATTTTATATGATATAATGCACAATGTTTAAAACGGTTCCATAAAGTTTACTTTAAATATTAAATACCAATTAGATGATATAAATTTTTTAACATCTATACTTTTGCATGCAAATCAATTATTTAGCATATTGGGGGTGTTTGGTAAATGGCATTTCGGTCGAAAAATGGCAGTTTGACTACTTTTAGCGTTTTCAACAAGTGAAAAAGTTGTTTTTGGTAAATAGTTGTTCGGCACTAACGTTTTTGGCCGGAAACGCTGCTCATAGGAGAGTTTTGGGTTGACGTTTTGAATAATGGCGTTTTCCGCTAATTTTATGGCCAAACAGCTACATTACCAAACATGTTCTGACAATCCGCCAATTTATTCCGGTAGTCAAACTCGCTGATTGAATTCGCTTTGACAACCCGCTAACATTACCCGCTATTCGCTAACCGCTGAATGCCAAACACGCCCATTATCAAACACCACATAACTTTATCTGCAAACCAATTTCTCTTGTACTTGTTTTAGATCCTATCACATACCGATTCCGTTTAATTTTCTCGGTTTTACTGTCGTTATGTTTTTATTTTTTTACTTCGCACTTTTTTTTGCTTGTTGTCACTGTTCTGTTTTGTCAGACTCTTACATTAGACTGGGGTGATGGGGGTTTTGCTCTGGCCACGAATCCCCACGATAGGCTCATCTAGACCCGTTATAGGATTAGCGAATCACATTGCTCTGTTTAGGGTGATTGGTTCTCAGGCTCGTCCGAGGGTCGGTGGCTGGAAGTGCTTCCTTTGTCTCTTTTGTCCCTTGTTGAATGTTTCACTATCAATATAAGGATGTTTTTACTTGGACTGTAAATTGCTGGTCTGGTCTGGTTTCTTTGTATTTTTATAACTATCCATGTCTGGTCTGATCTGATATGGTCTGGTCTGGGATGAATTACAGTCCAAGTAAAAACATCCTAAGCCGCCTTTTTCCAAAAACCTAGATCTCTACCCACTCCAAATTTCAATTTTGCTTAAATTATGAAGGTAAAATATAATCGTGTAAAAAAAAAAAAACTATATGTCCCAATCCAAAACAATAAATCGTCCTGCCTACTTGCTTATATATTTTACAAACAACAAGATATCTACTAACAGGTTGTGTTATAAGAACCGGACCGAATCGGCCGGTTCGACCCGGAACCCGGCCAAGCGGCCTTGAAACCGGTCCGGCCGAATGTATACCCGCTAATTGACTAAAACCGGAAATAACCGGCAGCCCGGCCAAACCCGCAACGGACCCAGACACGGACCCGCTAAGTTTATAATGGACTCAGACCCGACCCGTTTACCCGGTGGGTTTGAAATTTTGGACCCAGACCCATACCCAACGGGTCCCGGAACCGGGTGGGGTGGACCCGCCAAATATGAGATGCACACCAATATAAACTTTGTGAAATTAACAAGACATGTATATGAATGTAAAGCAATGTGCACAAACCTAAAAACAAAATATATCTTCACTTTAAAAAAAAATCAACGTTTCTTATAAAAAATTAGTTTTTTATCCAATAAATTGCCGGTTCTTGTATAGGCGTATAACTCCACATTCTGTCGCTTTCTCTTGCACAGAAAACTCAGAATAAACTAAAAATTAAGTTTATATAAAATCATATGATGCATATATGATAAGAATATAATAATAATAATAATAATAATAATAATAATAATAATAATAATAATAATAAATATTGTGCTTTGCCTACCGAACCCGATATACACTTTATGTATTATTATGTATATATATTATTATGTATATATATGTGTGTATTAGTTTGTATGTGTGTAATCACTCTATATATTAGTTTGTATGTGTGTAACCCGTCATGGCATTGCTAGGAACCGGTACGGTACGGTTCGGGACAAAAAATTTTGAGATCCGTTTCAAACCCCGTTTGTCGGTCCAGTACCATACCGGTCCGATTCGGTACCATTCCGGTTCGGTATTTTTGCCCACCCCTACCTCCAAGGCTCCAATGATTGATTATTAGTTAGTAATCATAATAATAAGGATTATTAGCTAAATATATCCCCAACTATCATCAAATTCACAAATCTATCCCATACTTTCACTTTTATTTTAAAAAAGATTCAAAATTTAACTTTTCTCACAATTACATTTTCAATGGATGAATTACTAAAAATTAAGAAGAAAATCATATTTATATTTCATATTTTTTCACTTCTTTCTAATTTTAAGTTTATAAACTTGTATTGCTTATATCTTATTAGTAGTGATAAAAATGTGTAATTTTGAAAAAACAAAATAGAAAAGCATAATTGTTGAAAAAGATGAACTGTAAGTCTTTTATTGATAAAAGTGAAAGAATATGATAGATTTGTGAATTTGATGATAGTTTGGATTAAAATAAGCTAATAATCCTATTATCCTAATAATAACTATTATTTCCTATTTCTCTCTATTATTATATGATTATGAGCTTAAATTATGCCTTCTTCCAGGGTCGCCTCCCGGTCCGGTTAGTTATGTTGTCAAAACTATTTCCAGAAATAGTTATGACTATTTCTAATTTAATAATCCTTGTCCGGGTCGCCTCCCGGTCCGGTTTTGACAACATAGCTTCCAGGGGCGTAACTAGGAGAGAGCCTAATAATGTATTATAGAAGGATTACTTTGTAATTCTTTAAACTTGGTTTTTAGTATAAATACAATGCAACATCAAAGGCACCCACGAGGGTATGCGATTATTCCCAAAAGTCATAGTTATGTATATGGTTTCAGAGCATTAGTTTTTTTTACACGATCTGTCATTCACTATGGCCGGTGCAACCAACTTCGGCCGCCTCAAGCATGGCGCCTATCTCCTCGGTGCAGCCGTCCATTGTCATCTCAACAAACATGGCGCCCGTCGTATCATCGCGCGGTGCAGCTCTCCACCAGCGTCACCACCGCTCAACCAGGCTTGGACGGTTCCAGCAGTACATCACAGGGACGGCGCCAAGCATGGAGTTGTGGTGTCAATTGACACCAATCAATTTTTTTTATTTGTATATATGTATTGAAAATTTAAAGAATGACACCACAGTTTTTAAAAATAAGATCAATATATAAGAAATGACACCACATATTCTCAACGTCTACTCTCTTTGTCTAACATTTTTTTAAGTTTGATTGAAACAAAAATCAATAAAATAAGAACTGTTTTTTCTGACAAATTTGAACAGTGTTAGCAGTTAAATGGTTATTTTATACGTGGTATATGAAGTAATACTTAGTATATATACTCCTTCTGTCCCTTATAACTTTGCCAACTTTTCTTTTTGGGATGTCCTATTAACTTTGCCACTTTCCCTTTAAGTAAGGAATTTGTGGTTCCAGTTCATTTTCTCTCCTCTGCACAAACCTCAACCTGTGACACCGCACCCGAATGTCCTTGGAAATTTGATTTGAATATTCATAGCTTATGTATTGGATTTCCGATTCCCAAACATTTCGTAAAACGATCAATGTTCTACGTAGTGCATGGTTGAATATCGTACTGTTCAAACTCGTACATTCGTGTCGGGTTTCGCAAATACTTACTCGGGACTTATTAATAAATAAAAAAGCCCAACATTACCAAAATAGTGAAAGAATGATTAAAGGAGAATACAAATGTCTATAACCCCATCTTTGGCATTATTGAGCTAAATAATGGGAGTAGGATTTTCCTTCTAAAATATCCATCAAGTAAATTATTGGGATGAGCCTACACATATTGGAGATCAATAATGTGATTTAGGAAGTTGACTTGTTCTAAATAAATTAGGATGAGTACAAGAAGACATCCTTGACAAAGATAAAACAATAGGACCCATCTTCCCATTTTTGGAAGTATTGGTAGATATTTTGGACCCCAAATTTAATGGGATCAATTGGGAACCACTCCACATGATATTAGTACCTGCAAAACAAATAAAAATGGGTTAGAAGACCTACCTTGGCCGTCCATAATGGAGGGGAGCTGCACATGACTTGATAGGAATCAAAACTTGGGCCACCATCCTTATTTTCGCACAAATTGGTGTGCTGTTTGTCTCCTCTCATTATAGAAGCTATACTCGACCAAAAAACGTGAATAATATGTCCTTGGATAGCCTTTGAAGTCTATTATCTCAATTGAGTGGTCTTTGTTCGAGGAGAGAAGGCTTATCTTACAAAAATCGAGCTGGAACGAGCAGAGGTCTGTGAACTCGAGCTGTGAGAGTGCTGAGACTGTTTGGTCGATATCTCGAGTTTTACAAATCCAATTAAGGCGTGTGAGATACCCACAGAAAGCTCTCAAGACGAGGAATCCGTGAAGGTCTGGTTTGCAGGAATCGGAGTTGTGGAAGGCTACCAAATCGTCCGAGAAAAACGCAACCTCGCAGGAGAGGATTTAATCCTCTAAAGTGAGTTTTAAACCCCAAAGCTTTACTTTTCATTCTCCAAATGATATGAACGATTGGTGAGACTATTATACACTAATCCAAGTGTATAATATGTCCTTATAAAGTTATTTTATTGATGTAAAGGTTAGATACTAACCTAGATGCAAATATTGGAAAACTAGGAATCGAGTTAGCCGGAAAACACCCGTTCTAGGGGCTGTTTTCGTATCAACGATTAAGGGTTGAACTAGCACTTTGAGGAGGCTGTTTAACACTCATATTTGAGCAAGGAATCAGTTCCAAATCCACCTTGACCAAAGCTTTGACCATTGGACCAAGAAGGGAAAGTTTAAAGCTCAATTGAGGTGAGGATTGACATCTAATTGCTTACAACTTGTAGGTTAAGCATGAGATTACCTAAATGCTTAAATCATGATTTTTCATGGATTATGATGATTATATATTGATGAAATATTGATATAGTTGCCAAGGAATGAAATTTGAAATGATTTGAGAAGGTATGAATAATATGAGATTAAATGAGTATAAATGAACTATTTTGTGAAAATGGGCA